AAAAAAAGGATTTTCACATTTCTCAGTGGCATCATTTCCACATTTCCACTCAAAACCCTAAATCTGATTTAAAAGGACACAATTGCTGGGTTTACATAACATGGTCAGTCCTGACAAACCAGCAAACCATATTATGGTGTAAGGTGATTATACAACATGCTAAGGCAATATACTCCCACGAAATGAGGAAAGTCATCTCTCAAAAGGCTGATTTTAACCTAATCTCACATGTTTCTCAAATCCAGCCAGCAAGAAATGTTGGTCAATGCTCTTTGACTTAACTCTCTCTTTTTAAAAATGGGAATAATTCAGCTTTGGAAGGTTGTTTTGAGGGCAAGCAAGTTAAGGTTATTATAGACACCTTGCATTTTGAGAAAGTGCTACATAAAAGTTCATATTCTCACTAGATTGCATTCAGCCCAAAGAGCTTTTTTATTAAGTAGTCCTTGACTTACAACCATTTGTTTATCGCCAGTTCAAAGTTATGACAATCTCGGAAAAAGTAACTTGTGACCCATCCTTCAAAGTTACGACAGTCACATCATCTCTGCAGTCACGTGATTGCAATTTGGTTGCTTGGCAACCAGCTGGCATTTAGGATAGTTGCAGCATCTTGAGGTCACGTGATCACAATTTGTGATCTCTCCAGCTGGTTTCCGACAAGCAGAGTCAATTGGGAAAGCTGGATTCACTTAAAAGACCACAGTAGAAATGACTGCAGAATAGGATCTGGTGATGTGATGACTCATTTAATGACTGCATCGCTTAGGGACTGAAATTCTGGTCCCAATAGTAGTCATAAGTCAAGGAGTACCTACCTAGTAGTTTGTTTTATAATTCTCTGTAATATATTTGTTCAGCTGTTTTCCAGGATATATGCAAATTTTTCCTCCCTATAAAGTTCCTATAAAGTTTGGAATTATAATATTCACAGGAGTTTTGTTTCAACTCAGGAAAAAAAAACAACCAAAACACAGTATGGAAAACACTTTCTTTTTGTGGAGTGCATGAGTGAAAATAATATTTGCACTTAAAATATTCTTCCTGATTAAAACCTCGTTCTTGTTTTGAGACTTCCAAAGGTATAGAAAGAGATTATGGCAGAATTAATTTTCTCTCCTCTGAAAAAAAAAGCCACTGAACAGTTAAAATCAATTTGAGATCATCTGGTTTTCAAAGGCTGAGTTGAGACAGAAGTTGTATTTCTGGCCTTCCCAGAAATGTTCAACAATTCAAACAACCACTTAACAGAGTCAAGAGAATTTGGAAATATGGAAATTCAGGCGGAAGAAACACTTCTAAGGGCTTGCATTAACATATTAAGGCTGCAGCCCTGAAGCACCAAGAAAAACATTCTGGATAGGAGACATAAGATATTTTTTTTTCCTGAGTTGTGATTTCAGAAAGAAAAATCTGACCTCAGTTCTCCATTTCTGAGCCTTAGGGATTTGTTTTACCTTAAAATTAGGAAAGTATCATAGTGAAAGCTCCAAAACTGAGCAGAATTAGAACTGGTCATTTGATGGAGTCAAAGGAGACAGCTGCAAGGATTCCAAACTTTCCCAGTTCTTCAACATTACCACAAAAGTGAGGCATAGAGGGTTAGTTGAAATATCAGTCATTCATATATATATATACAGAAGCCTGATGATGGCAGATGAGATTCTGCCGAAACGTTGCTACAACTTTAAAAGCACAACTACAATGACGTGGGAAAATACCCAAACTAAGCTGAATGCCATACATGTGAGTACCCGTGAAAACTTAAGAAAACACACACACACACACACACACACACACACATATTCATATATATTCCATATATATACATATGTGTGTGTGTGTGTGTGTGTGTGTGTGTGTGTGTGTGTGTGTTTCTCCGAAAATAAGACCGTCTTATATATTTTTTGCCACCAAAAAAGGCACCAGGTCTTATTTTGGGGGGATGTCATCCACTGACTAACCTCACTTGCATGCGTTGCCCCCGGTCTCCTTTTCGGAGTCAGAGGCCTTCAGGAACTTCTTCTTCTGTGGCCGGCAAGGCTTTCCTGAAGGCCTCTGCAGATGATAAAAGAGCTTTGGATCGATCTGAAGCTTTGTTCTCAGCTCCAGAGGCCTTCAGGAAAGCCTGGCCAGCCTTGCTGGCTGCAGAAGAAATGGGCCAGTGAGGCAGGTGTTGGGGTGTACGAGGCCTGGCTACACCTGTCTGAAGGTAAGTAGTAGGGCAGCTCCACCTCACCATCCGCACCCTAGCTTAATTTTTACCTCTCCACTCTGGAGTGGGCGGGATCTTAATTAGGGCTTATTTGGGGTGGTGGTAAGGCTTATATTGGGCTCACATGTAAAAATCAAGCTAGAACTTACTTTCAGGGTAGGTCATATTTTCGGGGAAACAGATTATTTATCAAAAAGGAACAAAAAAGGAACTTGGAAAGAGCAGAAACTGTTACTGGCTAAGCTTTAGTTTACTGGTAGTTTGGAACCACTTAGTTGTTCTGCAAATTAAGTTGTTGTTCTGTGAAGAAACTGAGTTGTTCTGCAAAGTGGATTATTCCAGGGAATCAACTGAATTGTTCTTTGAAGGTAGCTTTTATGCTCCATAATTAGCAAACAAAATTTCTAGATGATTGCTACAAAGATGAACTTTTTGACTTTTTAAAAACATAAAAATGCATAGTGGTCTTTCTATGAATTATTTTGGTTGACTTCAAAATCTGCTTCTAAAGTGTAATATTTTGTTTATAACTTTACCAACTACTTTGGACCAATTACTGGCATTTTAGCAACCATTCCTACTGGCAAATACTCTCTAAACCATTATGGAAAAGCTGGTAAGAGATTTTATAATGGCAGCTGCTTAATTAAAAAATAAGTAAATCAGAAATTACATTCAAACTGCCCCAATAGTTTATTTATGGGAGTGAGGGAAATGAGGGTGAGGTGGGACTCTTTTTAACAAAGAGATATATAATATTTTCCTTTTGTACTAAGTGCATTTTGGGTGTATTATGCAAAGTAAATTTTTCTTATCTAAAATAAAATAGGAATACATGAGACCTAAATTCCTAAATTCAAACAAAGAGGACGAACATATAGAAGTCAAAATTCTTAAGAAATCTACTGGGGAAAAAAGAAAGAATGAAATAGTGCAAATTGAAAATTCACCTTTTGCATTCTCCTGCCCACCCAGGTGCAATGTAATTCACCTTTCAATGAACTTAATCTTTACAAAAGTCTCACAAAATATTTTGTTACCTTTAGAAATTAGCGCCTATACATCAATATAGATTTTTTTTAAATAAATTATTCCATCTTTTAAGTGCCTTCTATCTTCATATAAATGATAATATAGATATAATTAAAATAAAATGTAAAGCTTTCTCCCTCCCCCCCACATTGTACCCCTCTTCTTGGTCAAGTTTTAAGTACCCTGAATCTTGAGTGTTCGTGGGAACATGCACTTCAATACGAAAGCTTTCCTTCCCATCAAATCTCATTGAATGATTAAGATCCAGATGCAACGGTGGGATTGGAAGTTGAGAGGGGGAGAAATTATGCTCCAGATAGGATTGGGATGGGGAGGAGGGGTGGGGAGGAGAGATATGCATAGTTATATGAAAGTCGAGGTGCTGCAAATACAGATGTACCTATGATCAAAGGAAATCTCTGATCCAACATCTGGGAAAATTAATAATAATCATAATAAAAGCATTCAAGGTCTCAGCAGAGTTCGGTGGCTTATGGATGAGATTCAGCAAAGCCGTAGGCCGTTCAGCTCTTCCTCCGGCGATGTGTTAGGTAGGACTTGTGTCCACATCCGCTTTACTCAAAGGATACATCCTGTAGGATTAAGACACCCAGGAGATTTTTGGGTTTTCAACCACCGAGAAGCACACTGAGCTGAGCCATTACAGGCTGGAAGGGAGGCAGTGGACTGGTCATATCTGCCTCCGGGTTCATCCTTATAAAGCTGTGTGGTGAGCACACAGAACAGTTTGTGCTGTGTGTATATGTGCCTGAGTGTATGTGTATGCATGTGTGTGTGTGAAGAGAGATTTAATATGGCAGACTTGTTTTTTTTTTCTTTTTAAAAAAATTGTTCTTTCTTTCTTTTTTTCTTTTCTTCCCCTTTTATGACCAAATCAGTGTCCTTCATGGCTTCCGACAGTTTGTGTTGTATGTTCAGAAAATAAGAATAATAATAATCACATTGACAGCAAGAAACGTGAAAGTAACTTTTTTCCCCCACAGCCCGCCCCGAAGCTTCCAAATAAGTTAGGATTAAATTTTCTTCTAAATACTTCTCCGTTGTGATCAGAGGTGTGGATCGGTGACTTTATAGTTTTTCCTTGGAAGGAATCCAGATGAAGGAATCCGATTGTTCTTCAATCACAAGTTTGGTTTGGTTATATATATCTTCTAAGGTATCTCCTTGTACAATTGCTAGAGGAAGGAAAACAGATTTTAATCCCTTTTCAGAAACAAAAATGGTCAGTGTTTTAGTATTTGTAGGTCTGATATTGTTCTGACCTCGGCTTCCTGAAAAAGCATTAAGCAGACTTTTTGGTCCCGGTAAAACCCCTTTTATTAAACGAAGATGAATTTCTTGCATACACATTCAGCCAAAGGCCTGGCAAACAGTCTTCCAAGGATCTAATTCGGAGCACAGACCTTATCTAGCTTGGAGAGCTGCCAAGTAAATATTTCCAAAAGCAGTGCTGACAAGGAAGGGCTCAGCACAGAGTCTGTGAGATGCACAGACAGATCTTTACACTGCTGCAATGAACTAACTGTTTCCTGCAAAAGTCCCCTCCCCTTTTGCTCCTCTTTTAATCCCTATGGGAGGGACCATTCACCATCCACCTGTGGCCTTAGTCCTACAACACAGTCCTTTCAACAGTTCCAAGAAGGCTCCTCATTCATTTGCACCACTCAGGTGACTCTGAAGACACAAACAAACCTCCAAGCGGCTTCAATGGCTCCCTAAAAGGATGCAAACGACCAGCTGTCTGCAAGGAATATAAATCTTTCCATTCCCCCACCATCCAGCCAGAGCTGAAGAAGCTTCTTGGATGAGAAGCAAAACATCTTCAAAGAAAAACCAGAAAGTCCAGTTGCCTCTTGAAAAAGCACATTTGGGACAACCATGACCTGGATGACAGAGAATCTCCATAGACTTTGGGTCTTATTTATCTATTATAATTAATTATTTCTCCAGTTTGACTGAACACAGAGTGAATTGTGGCTTGAATGTTTAGAGAGCTGGGAACATTCAAAAGAAAGATACGAAGCTAGGCTGATTGCTGATCTCCTTCCTAAGGCAATTTGTACGTGGCCATTTTTACCATACTTCAGCTAGTCCTCGCTTACTGATCACTTGCTCAGTGACTGAACTTACAATGGCACTGAAAAAGGAGACTTAGGATGGGCCTCCAAGCTACAACAATTGCAACGCCATTGCGATCATGGGATTATTAATTTGGGACTTTCACAGCCATCTTCTCGGTCAATGGGAAGGGCCTCAGGAAGCCATAGGTCATAATTAGTGACAGAATTGCTGGTCCCAACTAGGTTCAGTAAATGAGGACCCCCTGTATAATTCAGTTTCTCATTATCCCCCAAGTGCCACCAGAAAAATAAAAATAATGCAGTTCCCCTCCCTTTGTGAAAAATAAAGGAAGCCTTTCAAATGCACCTGTAAAATATTCTCCAAATTCTTGTTCTAATTTCATGGCGCGGTCATACGTTTTCTTGGCCTGTTCCTCCGTGAGACGTTTATTCATTTCCCTGAAACAGTTTGAAAGCTCAGGTAAAGGAAAGGGAGATTATGGTGGAAATAAAAATAAAGCAATAAATATTGGTCCCTAGTGTCCATAGCGGAAAAAAAATAATGCTTCAGATAATTCAGCATGGGAGAAAATACAGTTTGTTATATTGGGCCTCTGGAAATTGTATTTATTGGCAAGTGGAAAACATGGTGCACCCATTTCCTGCCTGTACTGTTGAATGGTTAAACTGCCGGACTAATAATGGGAAAGACCCAGGTTCCAATCCAGCCATGGTCATGGAAATTCAGGGGTTTGCCTTTGGGCCAGTCAGAAAGGCCTACCTTGCAAGATTGTTGTGGGATTCAGGAAAAAGGAGCCCTGATTTAAGCCATGGAAGCTCACTGTGTGACTGGATCAGATCGACCTACCTCACAAGAAGGTTGCATGGGAGAAAAAAACATAGAGGCAGTATTGTGCCTGCTGTCAGAATAGAATAGAATAGAATAGAATAGAATAGAATAGAATAGAATAGAATAGAATAGAATAGAATAAGAAAGGAATAGAATAGAATAAGAAAGGAATAGAATAGAATAGAATAGAATAGAATAGAATAGAATAGAGTAGAGTAGAGTAGAGTAGAATAGAATAGAACAGAATAAGAAAGGAATAGAACAGAATAGAATAGAATAGAACAGAATAAGAAAGGAATAGAATAGAATAGAATAGAATAGAATAGAATAAGAAAGGAATAGAATAAGAAAGGAATAGAATAGAACAGAACAGAACAGAACAGAATAGAACAGAATAAGAAAGGAATAGAATAGAACAGAACAGAACAGAACAGAATAGAATAGAACAGAATAGAACAGAATAAGAAAGGAATAGAATAGAATAAGAAAGGAATAGAAGAGAATAGAATAGAATAGAATAGAACAGAATAAGAAAGGAATAGAATAAGAAAGGAATAGAATAGAACAGAATAGAACAGAACAGAACAGAATAGAACAGAATAAGAAAGGAATAGAATAGAATAGAATAGAATAGAATAGAATAGAATAGAATAGAACAGAATAGAATAGAACAGAATAGAACAGAATAAGAAAGGAATAGAATAGAATAGAATAGAATAGAATAGAATAGAATAGAATAGAATAGAATAGAATAGAATAAGAAAGGAATAGAATAGAATTTTTTATTGGCCAAGTGTGATTGGACACACAAGGAATTTGTCTTTGGTGCATAAACTCTCAGATTATATAAAAAAATTCATCAAAAATCATAAGACACAACACTTAGTGATAGTCTTAGATACTAAATAAGCAATCAAAAATCATACTAGGAAACTAAATAAAACAATATAATCATAAAGATACAAGCAACAAAGTTATAGTCATAAGTGGGAAGAGATAGGTAATAGGAAGGATGAGAAGAAGAATACTAATACAGTCTTAGTAAATAGTTGGACAGCGCTGTAGGAATTAGTTGTTTAACAGAGTGATGGCATGTGGATTAACATCCTAAATCTCCTTATATTCTGCCTTCTATGCTTTTAATATTTTTAAAATTAGTCCTTGACTTACAATAGTTCATTTAGTGACTGTTCAAAGTTACAACGGCACTAAAAAAAGTGACGTATGACCGTTTTTTTGGCATCTCCATGATCACGTGGCCAAAATTCAGATGCATGGCAACTGACTCATATTTATGACAGTTGCATCGTCCCGGGGTCATGTGATTCCATTTCTGTGACCATTTGTGACAAGCAGTCAATAGGGAAGCCAGATTCATTTAAACACCGTGGTACTAACTTAACAACCACAGGGATTCACTTAATAAGTGTGCCAAAATTCACTTAACAAGGGTCTTGCTTAACGGCCAAAATTTGGGGCTCAGTTGAGATTGTAAATTGAGGACTTTCTGTAAATCATTCCTGACTGAAGTATTTTAACCATCTTGAGGAAAGGCTAAATTTCCTGACTCTTATTAATTGCCATGGTAAAGAAAAGTTGTAAAACGAGGCACAACTCACTTAACAACTATCTCACGCAGCAACAGAAATTTTGGGCTCAGTTGTAGTCGTAAGATGAGGACTACCTATATTGTACACTGCCCAGGGTTCTTTTATAAAAGAGATGAGAGATTCTTAATTATGAACAAACAAATGAATAAATAAGAGGAAAGTGGGATGCAACCAAACTAATTCAATAAAATTCAAGTTGAACTTTTCAGGAATAAGATCCTTTTTCTCTCCAATCCTCCTTTTCCTCACAGCGCATAGTGAAAAATATTCCTAAAATTATATCAGCAGAACTTCATTGGTCCAAGGCTGCTTTTCTACAATCTATTTCCAGAGAATATTTCAGCCCAGAAACGTTAAGAAAAATCAGTGCTGCTGAACTGTGTGTGTGTGTGAAGTAGCTTTTGCATTGCCAGTGAGAATAATTGCCTCTTACACATCATCTGAAATTACTGTGTGTGGCTTCTGGGTCATAGGACATGGCCTCCCCTTCAGGCCTTCGTTAATTTTAGAAAATCAATGTAAACAAACAAGACAGAAACATTCTACTAAAATTAAAAAAAACAAAAACCCTCCAGCTTTGTCACAGAAGCACGCAGACCCAGAATAATCTGCAGAATAATCTCTGTGTGTCGCTTGGAGGAAATTACAGGTAGTCCTTGACTTCTGACTGTTTGTTTAGCAATGGTTCAAAGTTACAATGGCCTCAGAAACAATAGCTGATGATGTGTTCTTGAAGTTATGACTGTTGCATCACCCGTGCAAACGTGTTGCATGAATACAGGGGTACAATCAAGATCAAGTGAGGTACTAATACCACTCTATAAAGCCTTAGTAAAACCACACCTAGAGTACTACATCCAGTTTTGGTCACCACACTATAAAAAAGATGCTGAGACTCTAGAAAGAGTGCAGAGAAGAGCAACCAGGATGATTAGGGGACTGGAGGCTAAAACATACAATGAATGGTTGCAGGAACTGGGCATGGCTAGTCTAGTGAAGAGAAGGACCACCCCTCAAGTGTCCCCCTAGACCCGTGATGGCGAACATATGGCACGCGTGCCACAGGTGGCACACAGAGCCATTTGTGTTGGCATGCAAGCTGCAGGCAAACTTACCTCACTGCACATGTGCGCACCTCACAGCTGATTTTCGGCTGGTTTGAGGCCTTTTTCGGCCTCCCAAAGGCTTGAGGAAGGCTTCTGCAGGCTTTGCAGGTCGAAAACTAGCCCCGTTTCATCACTTCCTGTTTTTCCAAAAATACCGGAAGTGACAAAACGGGGCTAGATTTTGGCCTACAAAGCTTGCAGAAGCCTGCAGAAGCCTTCCTCAAGCCTTTGAGAGGCCGAAAAAGGCCTCAAACCGGCCAAAAATCAGCTGTGAGGCGCAGTGCAGGAAAGGGGGCGGTGGGGTAGGGATTGTGCGTGCATGCATAGGGGATGTGGGGGGGCGTGCATTGCCTTCTCGGTGCTGGCACGCGAGAGCGAGCGTGCAAGTACATGCACAATTTTTGGCACAGAAGCCCAAAAACGTTAGCCACCACTGCCCTAGACTCAGCATGTACACACTTCCACACCCTATAAAACAATCTCTCTCCATACCCGTGATGGCGAACCTATGGCATGCATGCCAGAGGTGGCACGCAGAGCCCTCTCAGTGGGCACGTGTGCCATCACCAGCTGCTCTTCAGGTTTCTGGCATGCACATGTGCGCTGACCAGCTAGTCTCCAAAAACATATCATTTTTCTGGGCCGTTTTCAGGCCTGTTTTCCAGGCTGTTTTCCAAGCGTTTCCGGGGTGTTTTTAGGCCCTCTTTTGGGCCATTTTCAGGCTGTTTTTGGCTGGACAAATGGCCGGACAAATGGCCTGAAAAAGGCCTGAAAAGGGCCTGAAAAATGCCCCAAAACAGACTGTTTCTTGGGCCATTTTCCGGGCATTTTATGGGGTGTTTTTAGGCCATCTTTTGGGCTGTTTTCAGGCTCTTTTTGGTCTGAAAAATGGCCAGAAAATGGCCTGGAAAACGGTCTTGAAACGGCCCAAAACCGCCCCCAAAATGGCCTGAAAATGGCCCCAAAACAGACAGAAAATGGCCAAAAACGGTCCCCCAAAATGGCCAAAAACTAGGCATGCGCATACCGGCTAGTTAGTCTTCAGTTTTCCGGTGCTCCGGCATGCGCAAATGCACAGGCATGCATGCGCTTTCTGCTTTGGGCACTCAATGCTGAAAAGGTTCTCCATCACAGTTCTATACCTCATTTTCTCTGTAGCTGCCCCCCCTCCCCCGGGGGCAAGTCTGTTTCCCTTTGGGAGTAAATAATTCTCTTTTCCTCATGGGATTTCATTTTGATTCTTCTTGCACAACCCCGGCTCGAATAGGAACCCCAAAATATTCTTTTGACCAACGCTTCACCCCCCATGGTCCACAAGGAGGCGGGAGAAGGCAGTACTCACATCAAAGGCTCCCACGATCTAGGCTTAATGAAGATTGCAATAGGGTACAGTTGCGCAACTTGAAGTCGTTTAATTGCATTTCCTGATACATCAAGGATACAGTGCTTGCCCTGGTGACGGGAAAGGAGGAAAGGTTTACTTTTGAGGTGGCATTTAAAGGACAAAATAAATAAATTAAAATCAAGCTCACAAGAGTGGATCAATTTCAAAATTAGCAACTATAGGCCCCTATAAAATAACAGCTGCGGTATAAGGATGGTATATGATTTGGAAGTCTTCTAGTGACAGCTTTGTGGACTTCAACTCCCAGAATTCCCCCTCCAGTCATGTTAGCTCAGGAATTCTGGGAGTTGAAGTCCACAAGTCTTAAACTTGCCAAGTTTTGAAGACCCTTGTTCTATTGCAACCCCTGCTCAAGGCAGGAGATCTGAAACCATCCTGGTCAAATGGTTGTCCTATCTTTTCTTCAAAACCTCCAACGACGGAGCACGCACAACTCTGGGAGGCATCGATGAATTGTTCTGTCAGAAAAATTCTCCTCACTAACTGCCTGTAGAGATTCTCAGTCCTCCAGGTCATGGTTGTTCCAAAGGTGCTTTTTTCTTCAGGAGGCAACTGGACTTTCTGGGTTTTTTTTCTTTCGAAGACGTTTTGCTTCTCATCCCAGAAGCTTCTTCACTATCCTGTCAGAAGCTTCTTGGATGAGAAGCGAAATGTCTTCAAAAGAAAAAAAAAACATAGAAGTCCAGTTGCCTCCTGAAAAAAACACCTTTGGGCCTCCTCACTAACTTTCTAACATTTTCCAAACACACACAGCCCACCCACCCCTTACAAAGTGGCTCAAAAAAATACCAAAAGGGCTCTGAATTCAAGTGTTGGCAAAAGGAAGGGTTTGCATTGGTTTACATGGGCTAGCACCTTCCTGGGTCCTTTACATACCTATAGGTTGACTACAAGACCCATCCTATTGCGTTTCCAACTTGAATTGCTTATTTTAATATTAGCCCCATTGTTCAATCAAAAATAACCTGCCTTTCACATCTTCCTTATCATCCCTGTATAACTTCCAACTTTAGGGGAAAGTTAATTGTAGCTGAGGTTGAGATGAGGGGGCCTTTTGGCTCTCTCTGACTTTGGTTGACTTTTTGCAGACATTTCATTACCAAATTAGGTAACATCATCAGGGCTAGTGCTCTAGCACTGATCAGGTTACCAACTTTGGGTAATGAAACCTGTGCAAAAAGAAAAAAAAAACAAACCACAACCAAACTCCGAGAGCACCAGGGATCCTTTATCTTAACCCCGAGCTACAAAATATTCTCCTTATTGAAAATATTTTAAACCTGTGCGGGAAAAGCTCCTTGCGATTCCGTACAAGTTTTTTTCTTCTTCTTCTCCTTCTGAGGCTTCTGTTTTTCTGCCTCATTTTCAGGAAGTTTGAGAAGGTCTTTGAGGCAATGACTGAAGCTGATTTTAGGATTTGAGGGTGGAGACAGGGAGCAGGAAGCAATGGTGGCATTCTACCGGTTCAGACCAGTTCGACTGAACTGGTAGTAAAAAAAATCTACCAGTTTGGCCAATGATCTGCTTTTTCCGATGATCAGCTGGGCTATAATGAGCTGTGCTACGCAATTTAGATTAGCTAGAAAGGAAGAAATTGTAGGATTTCTTGCTTTCTAGCTAATCTAATCACGTGGCACAGCTGATTCCCCTCCCTTGTTTCAAAATGCTGCTTTTTTCAGCTACAAGGAAACGTCCCTGAGGCCCACTAGGCAAAAAACGGGGTGCGGGGTTGTGTACTGTACATGTCCCCTTGTTTTTGCTCCTATCTCTGAGGTCCACTAGTCAAGAAGGTTGGGAATATTGCTTGCTGACATCTTCCTATCAACTCTATAGTTTCCCTGGCTGCTCATTCTTTCTGCTTATCCTTTCAATGGAAAGAAACTAAGAAAACTGGTCATTTGTTGTTGATGTTTTCTTTTGTGACGGGATGGAGAGGATTCACATGTCCTGAGAGACATTCATGTAATGAAAAGATAATTTGCCCCCTTCGTAATTAAGATAAGTGCAGGAAAACCCAGTCACTAGAATTTTATTTATTTTTTTCTTCTTCTTGGTGAGGATTTGTTCTTGAATAAGAATGGTTGGGGTAAAAATATAGAAGAAATGTTTGGCCCCATGTTAATAACCACTCAACCAATAATCTTGCTGTTGATTGAATACAGTGTGTTATTTGCCTTGTTCCAGGTAGTCCTTGGCTTACAACAGTTCATTTAGTGACCGTTTGAAGTTACAACGGCATTGAAAAAAGTGACATATGACCGTTTTTCACACTTATGACTGTGGCAGTATCCCCATGATTTCCATTTGGATGCTTGACAACTGATTCATATTTATGACGGTCGCGGGGTTATTTGATCCCCTTTTGCAGCCTTCTGACAAGCAAAGTCAATGGGGAAGCCAGATTCACTTAACAACTGTAAATTAGTAACCGTGTTACTAATTTAACAATGACAGAGATTCCCTTAATAAAGGTGGCTAGGAAAGTCATTAAAGGGGGCAAAACTCACTTAACCAATTTTCCACTTAGCAATGTAATTTCTGGCCTCAATTGTGGTCATACATCGAGGACTACCTTTGTTACATATGATCTTCTCAGCTGGCTTTTGACAAGCAAGATTGACAGGAGAAAACAGATTCGCTTAATAACTTGTGTGATTCACTTAACAACTAGAGCGATTTGCTTAACAGCCGTGGCAAAAAAGTTGTAAAACCGGGCATTTCACAACCCCCGTGCTTAGCAACAGAAATTCCGATTCCAGTTGTAATCATAAGTCAAGATCTACCTGTATGCGAAATTCATTTTATAATTACAAAATAGTATTAAGATCATTCATCATTATGGTAGCAATGGCAATAGCACCTAGACTTATATTCTGCTTCACAGTGTTTTCCAGCCCTCTATAAATGATTTACAGAGTCAGCGTGTTGCCCCCCAATAATCTGGCTCCTCATTTTACCGGCCTTGGAAGGACAGAAGGCTGAGTCAACCTTGAGCCGGTCAGGATCAAACTCCTGGCACTGGGCTGAATTAACCTGCAATTCTGCATTCTAACCACTGTGCCACCATGGCTCCTTCCTTCCTTCCTTCCTTCCTTCCTTCCTTCCTTCCTTCCTTCCTTCCTTCCTTCCTTCCTTCCTACCTACCTTCCCAATAACACCTAGACTTATATACCGCTTCATAGTCCTCTCTAAGCAGTTTTACAGAATCAGCATATCGCCCCCAACAATCTGGGTCCTCATTTAACTAACCTCAGAAGGATGGAAGGCTGAGTCAACCTTGAGCCTGGTGAGATTCGAAGTGTCAAATCACAGGCAGTCGGCAGTCAGCAGAATTAGCTGCAGTACCGCAGTCCAACCACTGTGCCACCATGGCTCTTTTTATTATGAATTGTACAGAGAGCTTTTCTGTGTAAACTGGTCTGTGGCTTTTCCCAAATTAAAGAAATCCGGACCTACAACTACATTTAATACATTTCAATATGATATATAGTACATTTTGCATTTGTACCATCTGGGTCATTTACCCTTTCGGCTACAAATCGCACAGACTGCACACTTGTTCCATACAGATTATCGTTGTATTGGCCAGCTTCGATGAATTTGTGCTCTTGAATGTCCTTTTCCATTTGTTCTCTGGAGATGACGAAGTGGTAATCTCTACCATCCACTTCATAATCGCGCCTCGGTCGAGTGGTATCTTGGGAGTAACAAAAAAAATGAAAGAGGTTTTGCTAAACGAACCAAGACCCTTTATATTTACTTTGTCTGAAATATAGAAAGACTGAATAACAGAATTGGAAGGGACCTTAGAGGTCTTCTAGTCCAACCCCCTTCTCAAGCAGAAGACCCTACACCACTTCAGAGAAATGGTTGTCCAATCTCTTCTTAAAAACTTCCAGTGTTTGAGCATTTACAACTTCTGGAGGCAAGTTGTTCCACTGATTAATTATTCTCAGCATCAGGAAATTTCTCCTTAGTTCTAGGTTGCTTCTCTCCTTGATTAGTTTCCATCCATTGCTTCTTGTCGTGCCTTCAGGTGCTTTGGAGAATAGTTTGACTCCCTCTTCTTTTGTGGAACCCCCCTGAGATATTGGAAGACTTCTATCATGTCAACCCTAGTCCTTCTTTTCATGAAACTAGACAAACCCAATTCCTGCAACCATTCTTCATATGTTTTAGCCCCCAGCCTCCTAATCCGTTTTTGTTGCCCTTCTCTGCACTCTTTCTAGAGTCTCAACACCTTTTTTATATCGTGATGACCAAACCTGGATACAATATTCCAAGTGCGGTCTTAGCCAGGCCTTATAAAGTGGTACTCAAGCAAAACAGTTCCGGACATCATAGGTGGTCCTCATCTTACGACCATTTGTTTAACAGCTGTTCAAAAGTAGGAAGGCTTCCCAAAATGTGATTTATGAGCAGTCCCCAAATTTATAACCGTTACACCACCCTTCCGGTCATGTGACTGCTGTTGGAGGGCTTGGCTCTCATTTACGGCCAGTTGCAAGTTCCCTGTGTTCAGGTGATTCCAATTTGCAACCTTCCCAGCCTGTGTCCAACAAGCGAGGTCGATTGTGGAAGCCAGGTTTCCTTAACAACCACATAATTTGCTCAATGACACAGGTTAAAATAAAAAGATCATAAAATAGGATCTGGTTACAGGATGATTTGCAGAACCACTACATTGCTCAGCAACTGAAATTCCTGGCCGAAACTGTGGTCGTAAGTCGAGGACTACTTGTATTGCAGAATTTCCTTAATGGTAAACATTAAGTGGAGCATTGGGATTTGCAAAGGAAAGCACCAAGTTCTAGCATCAACCATTTTTCCAAGGTTGCTTTCTAACCTCAGATGATTCTTAGAAAATGAAAACAGGGAAGAATTACAGCCCAAAGTCTTACAGACACATGGTTAGCCCATCTCTTCTTAAAAATTTCCAGTGTTGGAGCATTCACAACTCATTCAGTGGATGTGGAAACATCTCTAGTTTACCTCCTGCTAAAAAGATATATTATGATTGACTTTGGGCAGCCATTTTGTTTCATTAAGGGGATGTGGGAACATCTCTAGTTTACCTCCTGCTAAAAGGGTATGTTATGATTGAGATTGGGCAGCCATTTTGTTTCTTTCATGGCAGCCATTTTGCATGCCCAAGACATTCTCAGATGAGACTACTGTTGAAAAGAGGATGAGGGCTCATTAGCATAAAATGGGACACATTAGCATAAAATAAACCCAGCTGTTAATTTTACAAGTGTTCCAGAAAGAGGACAAAGTCAGGCCTCCAAAACCAAGAAAGACACTCTGAGTTTCTTCTAAGCAGTTTCTCCTTGATTGTTTTTCATCTATAGACAGAATCTTGCCAAACTAAAGCAATTACTGGCATTATTAAAGATATACAAGCAGTCCTCTACATTTAGTGACCGTTCAAAGTTACAACGGCACTGAAAAAGTGACTGATGGCTGTTTTTCACACTTATGACCATTGCAACATCCCCATGGTCATGTGATCAAAATTGTGACCCTTGGCAACTGGTACATATTTATGATGGTTTGCAATGATGTGATCCCCTTTTGCAACCTTCTGACAAGCAAAGTCAATGGGGAAGCCAGATTCACTTAACAAACAAGATACCAACTTAACAACTGCAGTGATTCACTTAGCAACTGTGGCAATTCAGGTTGTAAAATGGAACAAAATTGACTTAACAACTGTCTCATTAGCAACAGAAATGTTGAGTTCAGTTGTGGTCATAAGTCAAGGACTACCTGTATTTTGAGAAGTTCTATGGAGGAGCTACTGTGACCTTCTTTTACCCAACCAAACTATCTCAACTTTGCTGACTCTTGCTCCTCTGGAATGCAGCCCCTCCCTGCTGGGAATCCAGGCCACATTCCACCACAGATCACAACAAGTTAGCATGTTGCACCTCATTTTAGCCAGCAAATAATGGATTCACAGAGATGCCTCCTGATATACAATACTTACGTGGGACGCAGGAGCCAAATTTGTCAGGGAACTCAGATATCAAATCATCATTTATCCGATCTTTCATTGGGCCAAGGATAATAACTGGCCTGGTGTAATTAACTGAAATGCAGAAAGAAAAGAAGATGGTTAAGGTAGCTTTGTAACAAGCGCTGGTGACGGGTTGATACCTAAAAGGAAACATGATGGTGCAGTGGTTAGAATGCAATATTGCAGGTAAACTCTGCCCATAGCCAGTTCGATCCTGACCATCTCAAGGTGGACTCAGCTTTCCATCCTTCCAAGATCAGTGAAGTGAGGACCCAGATTGTTGGGGGCAATAGGCTGACTCTGTAAACCACTCAGAGAGTGCTATAAAGCACTATGGAGAACGGTATATAAGCCTATGTGCTATTGCTATTGCTAAAATTTAATCTTGGAGAGATCTCAATTGCATGCAATCAACTTGGACGATGCATTTAGATTTAGTAAATGGAACGAAGGACAGATAACATTTCCTAAAAGCAAAACAGGGACTTCCATGAGATGCAACTGAACATGCCTCATTAAAAGGCTTATTGGAATGCTTCTACACGGAATTGTTCTCCAGAAGATGTAACGGTCATTATTTTTCCTAATAATCTGGAGTTTTTTTTTCCTTGGGAAACCAATTCTGAACTGTGCAATCATGAAATTCAGCAAGGTCCTTCTTACAATATAAAGGACATCGGGCAAATTTGTTTGTTTTTTAAATGTCCTCTTTCATTACGTTCTTTGAATGGGATGGAAGACACCAGCTATATATACGTATTTTGTAGAACTGGTCCTAAGGAAATGTGGACGGATTTCACATCTTAGATTGGGGCTATACGTAAAATACAATGAAGCAGAAAAATATCTATTGAGGACAGTCCAGATCATAGACGACATCATGATTTCAAAAGTTGCAACTGATTGCGCTTGATATTACGTGGTTTAAATATTCATTAAAATGACTAACAAATTGGAATATTAAAAGTTGGCAACAAGCCCTTTGTGCCGCAGTCAGCCACTCAGTTAGGAATGAATGTATTACTTTAGGTGGCAGGATATTAAATCATTGCTATCTCTGAATTGCAAGGATTGATTGCACAGTATGGCTTTAGGGTTCCACTTCCTGCTTTTTCTCATGCATGGATTTTGGCAAAGGATTTGCTTGCAGAACACGAATAATAATTAATAATAATAATAATAATAATAATAATAATAATAACAACAACAACAACAACAACAACAACAACAACAACAACAACAACAATGCAAGAGGAACCAGAGTAAACCCAAAGTGATCTAGAACCACTCCTTCTTCCCCGATAGACTTGTGGGTGTTTTAAGTGGGAATTAAATATTTTTGAAAAGGTAATCCCTGTAATCTACAATACAACATACTATCTTTGAAATAATAGAAAATATTGGTCACTCAGGTTTTAGATTTTGGCAGTGGTTTGTTCTCCAGCTTGTCTCAATTTAGCTTCTGAACATTTCGTTACCAAACTAAGTAACATCATCAGGTGGATTTTCTTGTCCTGCTCTCCTTTGCTTATAAATGTCTTGTGTGCCAGTGTTATCATTTGGTTGGTTGTTGGTTTATATTGCTTTCTAAATATATCTCTAAACCAACCACCAATCAAATGACCAAATGACCACACTGGCACACAAGACATTTATAAGCTGAATAGAATAGGACAAGAAAATCCAATATCTCAAGAAGAGGGAGTCAAGCTATTCTCCAAAGCACCTGAAGGCAGGAAAAGAAGCAATGGATGGAAACTAATCCAAGAGCGAAGCAACCTAGAACTAGGGAGGAATTTCCTGACAGTGAGAACAATTAATCAGTGGAACGACCCGCCTCCAGAAGTTTTGAATGCTCCCAACACGGGAAGTTTCTAAGAAGAGACTGGATAACCCCTTAAGATTTAGGGGGTTAGACTAGAAGACCTCCAAGGTCCCTTCCAATTCTGTTATTCTATTCTAGTCCTGCTGATGATGTTACTCAGGGGTGGGCTTCAAAAATCCCAGCAATGGGTTCTCTGCCTGATTGCTGGGTGGGCGTGGCCATGGTGGGTGTGGCCTACCGGAACCTTCAGGAGGGCCATTTTTCACCCTCCCAGGCTCCGGAGGCTTTCCTTAGGCCTCTGGGAGGGTGAAAACTGCCTCTCCCAGGCTCCGGAGGCGCTCCAACTTCTGGAATTTCCGGGAGGCCCATTTTTTTACCCTCCCCGAGTCTCCCCACGGGCCCTGCACTTACCTGCATCCAAACAGGCCATGTGGAGAGTCTTGGGAGGGGTGGGATGAGGCAGGGTGGGAGGGGTGGGGTGGGAGGGGCCAGCCAGGGGTGGGATTTGGCGGTTCACCGAACTGGCCATAACTTTAGCAACAGGTCCGCCTGAACCTGGGCGAACCCGTAGCAGTCCACCCCTGAGGTTACCTTGTCTGGTGACAAAACTTTCAGAAACTTAATTGACCACTACCAAAAACAAAATACTATGACCCACTTTAGCTGCTCAAACAATTTAGGAGAAATACCTGAGCAAAATTGAAGTGAGCTAGCTAGACCCGTTCATTCTGCCGTGATAGACTTAGAGAGGGACAGTTTAGGTAGGAAGGACATATATTTAAAAATTAGCGAACCCTACTAGCAGCCCAAGATTTTACTGTAAAAATAAGCTAGACATAGTTTAGACCAGGGGGGTCTCCAACCTTGGCAACTTTAAACCTTGACGGACATCAACTCCCAGAATTCCCCAGCCAGCTTTGCTTTGCTGGTTGGGAGCTTTGCTGGCTGGGGAATTCTGGGAGTTGAAGTCCACCAAGGCTTAATGCCAAGGTTGGAGACCCCCCTCGTTTAGACCAAACTGACGAAGGAACACATCCAAGCTTGTGACAAAAGTGCTTTTCCAAAAGGCAACTGGACTTTTGTGGTGTTTTCCTCCTTGCAAACGTTTCACTTCTCATCCAGGAAGTTTCTTCGGTTCTTCAATTGCTTCTTGGATGAGAAGCGAAATGTTTTCAAGGAAAAAACAATGGAAGAAAGTCCAATTGCCTTTTGGAAAAGTACCTTTGGGACAACCACGATGTCATGCCCCTGTTGGAGTCTGACTCTGAGGGAGAGATGGAACAGCTGACAGAGAGTGGGAGTGTGGCTCCGGTGGTTGTGGAGGAAACTGGGGAAGGGCACAGGCCAGATGGGCATTCAGAGGAAGACCCAGGCCCATCCCCTCTTCATCCTAGGGCATGCAGGGGGGAGAGGATAAGGGAGAAACGTGAGTGGCATGGTCTAGGGGGAGGAAGGGGCCCTGATCCCCTTCATGGGCTGCAGTTGGGAGGACTGGTTAAAAGGAAAAACTGCGCATGGCAAGGCTGCTGGAAGCAAAGCATGCATTCTTGTCAGAGCTTATCTGTGTTTTGGCTTCCTCCCAACCATGGTTGCTGCGTTATCTGATAGAAGTCTGCAATTAATCATCCTTGCCTGCCTAGTAATTCCTTCAGTGTGGTTTGTGTTGGTTTTTTAAATTTTGAATTAACTTTACTTTGGGTGCGGATTGCATTTACTCCCTCCATAAACTGTTTTCTTTAAGAGTTTGATAGCCTGCCGAGGATAATTGGACATTGGGGCCAAGTTGGAGGCATTAAAGGGACTTTCTTCTATTTTTGTGACTTGGTTATTTTTGTGTCATGCCCTGGGTCATCACACATGATCTGAATGATTGACAATCTCCGTAGACACCAAAGCTTGCTTACTTTCCTGCCGTGTAACCGGTTCATAGGAGAGAATGCAGTCCTCTTGTCCTCCTGACGAGAGAAGAAAAACAGAGAGAAAATCAGCATTGAGGCCCAGTGCTTCCAAAACTCTCCCCAATGTCACATTTACTTCCTTGAGTAGGCTTACATACAAGGTACTCCTAAATGCTTTCAAGCAATCAACCTCGGCTTAAAGTTTTAAGTTAGCCTGTGATTTATCATTGCAAACTGAGTAGATACAACAGGTGTCAGAAATGTCCTAAAGCAATGTTTTTTCCCCCAATCTTGATTACCTTTAAGATGCGTGGACTTCAACTCCCAGCATGCTGGCTGGGGAATTCTGGGAGTTGAAATCCATGCATCTTAACGACGTGAAGGTTGAGAAATACAGACTTAGTGGATGAGAATGCATTGAGAAGGAAGGAAGAGGTGGGTGCTCCAAGTTACAGATAATTCTCAACTCTGGAGATGCTCCAATACTGGAGGTTTTTAAGAAAAGACTGGACAACTGTTTGCCTGAAATGGTTTAGAGCCGTGATGGCGAACCTACGGCACACGTGCCACAGGTGGCACACAGAACCATTTGTGTGGGCACGCAAGCCCCAGGCAAACTTACATCACTGCGCTTGCGCGCGCCTCCCAGCTGATTTTCGGGCCTTTTTTGGCCTGCCAGAGGCTTGAGGGAAGCCTCTGCAGGCCGAAAAATAGGCTCGTTTCGTCACTTCATGTATTTCCGGAAATGCCTGAAGTGACGAAACGAGCCTATTTTTCGGCCTGCAAAGCCTGCAGAGGCTTCCCTCAAGCCTCTGGCAGGCTGAAAAAGGCCTCAAATGGGCCAAAAATCAGCTGGGAGGCACAGTGCAGGTAAGGGGGCGGCAGGGGGGGGGGAATAGTGTGCACATGCACAGGGGGCGTGGGCCCCCCCGCGCAGATTGTCTTCTGGCACAGGAGCCCCAAAAGGTTAGCCAGCACTGGTATAGAGTTTCCTACTAGAGTAGGGGGTTGGATTAGAAGACCTCCAAGGTCCCTTCCAACTCTTATGATTTTAATGACTTTGCAGATGATTCTCAACTCTGGAGATGCTGTTTAGTTGTGGTAAGGAAGGAAGGATCCCCCCCTTCTATTGCACCAATATAAATGAAATAGAAAACAAATGGTTAATGTCTTGAGTCATTCTGTGACTTTTGAAGGACTCTTGAAATGTTATGCTTCAAAACTGCTCCGGCTTAAGAAGTTAGGCAGGGATCCTCCCGCTTCTGAAGCTCTAACATGGCATGGTAGTTGGCCTAAAAATTAAAATTTACTCTATTGTCTGTGCTCTGTCCCAAAAGTGCTTTTTCAAGAGATCACTGGACTTTCTAATTTTTCTTTGGAGACGTTTCGCTTCTCGTCCAAGAAGCTTCTTCGACTCTTCAAAGAAAAACCATAAAATCCAGTTGGCCTTTTGGAAAAAAACAAAACACCATCTTTGGGACAACCATGGCCTGGATGACTGATAATCTCCCTAGACATGACTGTGCTCTGATTCTCAAATCAGGACTACAGCATGACTACATCTGGAAGAAATCCATACTTTGGCTCGATAGATTAAAAGGGAAAGGGCGGGAGGGGAGCATGGTTTGAACCTGGGGGAGACTCTATGCTTCAATGGGACCGGATGCAGATACTTTGTTTTTCGAACTCATAAGCTGCATAGGTTGTCCTGAACTTACGACCATCATGGAGCCTGCCCATCGTGATTGTGAGTGGTGATGTTGTAAAACAGGCCACCAATATGGCCAATCTGATTTTTTTTGCATCAGTTGTTAAGGGACCACTTGTGGTCATTAAGCGAACATCACGGTCATTAACTAAATGCCAATTTGCGGAAAATACTTTGTCAAATACGATCCTGAGACTGAGGGATACTAGAAATGACTATAAATGGAGACAGCTGGCCAAGCATCTGGTGAGGTCAGGTGAATACTTCATAAGAATACTTTAAAATCGTATGGCATTCTGTTTGATAGGAAGTACACGCAGTCCCCGACTTACAACAGTTCATTTAGTGACCATTCAAAGTTACAACGGCACTGAAAAATGTGACTGATGACAGGTTTCTAATATTTAACACATTTAGTAGCATATTTAGCTGAGCAGGTGTGTCCGAACTTGTTCTTCCTATCAGAAATACGTTGTAATTATTGTACAGAGAGTTTCCCACTGGTTCAAACATGCCAAATTAATGGGGAAATCAGATTCCATAGATCCAGTTTGGTCTAGTGGTTAAAGCAATAGTCTAGCAAGACTGGGGGACTGGGAGTTCTAGTCCTGGTCTTAGGCATGAAAGCCAGCTGGGTGAACTTGGCCAATCACCAGGAGGCTGTGAGTTCTAGTCCTGCCTTAGGCATGAAAGCCAGCTGGGTGAACTTAGCCAATCACCAGGAGGCTGTGAGTTCTAGTCCTGCCTTAGGCATGAAAACCAGCTGGGTGAACTTGGCCAATCACCAGGAGACTGTGAGTTCTAGTTCTGCCTTAGGCATGAAAGCCAATTGGGTAAGCTTGGCCAATCACCAGGAGACTGTGAGTCTTAGGCATGAAAGCCAATTGGGT